AGGCAGAGAGATCAAACCCTTTAAGAGTATTAACAAGCTTCCTACATATCTCTTGGGTTCAAATGGAAATGAATAGGTAGGAGGGCTGCTTCGATATGCAAACACCTCCAGATAATCAATTCTATTCTAATATCATGCTGGCTGCAGAATCACAGCTTCTGGGGCCCTTTAATTCACTTCCAGCTAATGCCTGGGGTGCCAGTGCATAACAAAGAAAAAAGAAGAAAGTGGATAAAACTAAAATATTTCATCAGATCACAGCAAGTTAAAGCCCGGCCAACTCCAAGCTTCATTGAACATCTTTGTCTACTTATCCCTGAATGGGTTCAAATAAAAGATTTGCATGTGTGTACACATTGTCAGCTTTGCACTCTTGCAATCATTTATGTTACCTCCTGAGGTTCAATGACACCATTTTCAAAAAGAAAGCAAGGATATGTGGACTGGCCCAAGTTTTTTGACATGTGAAGTCAGTAATAGGTAAAGTCATACATAAGTTAAAAATTAAGTTTAATTATGTATTTTTAATGAACTGCTCACCGAAATCATAGATAACATTAGCGTCCATCGTACCTGGTGTCCATAGCCATAGGATAGATTTGCTGGCTTCCTGTTCTGAAGATTCTGGTGCACACAGCCATTGCTACCAGGATTAGTAGTATGCAAAGTAATGTTTAACAGCTGGCTCAGAGGAAGCGAGTAGGCACTGATGTGTAACACTTGCCAGTTTCCATGGACTGTAAGAGAGTCCTCACTAAATGGCTGATTTCAAGTTATGAGTAGGGGTACACTTGGAGTTGAGGAAGAGATGGTCAGTAATGCACTACAGACAGAATTTCAGCTATACAGATAGCACAGATACTAGGAAAATAATAAGAAAGTGATGAGCTTTGAGTACATACTCACCTAATTTCTATCTGTCCTCTTGACTGTGCATCTTTTGACAGGCAGAGTGGACAGTGAGAGAGAGAGACAGAGAGAAAGGTCTTCCTTTGCCGTTGGTTCACCCTCCAATGGCCGCCGCGGCCGGCGCGCTGCAGCCGGCGCACCGCGCTGATCCGATGGCAGGAGCCAGGAGCCAGGTGCTTTTCCTGGTCTCCCATGGGGTGCAGGGCCCAAGCACCTGGGCCATCCTCCACTGCACTCCCTGGCCACAGCAGAGGGCTGGCCTGGAAGAGGGGCAACCGGGACAGAATCCGGCGCCCCGACCGGGACTAGAACCCGGTGTGCCGGCGCCGCTAGGCGGAGGATTAGCCTAGTGAGCCGCGGCGCCGGCCATACTCACCTAATTTCTAATATGACTTTTATATTTATATATTCACTATCACTAAAAAATGGAAACAACCCAAATGTCTTTCATTGACTAGATGTTAAATGGACTGTAGCACAGCCATAGAAGAGACCACCAAAGAGCAGCTGCATGGATGAATGTTAAGACATTACACCCAGGGAAAGGAGTCAGTCTGCAGAGGTCACATTATGCATGACGACATATGCATGACGACATTTGCATGACACCTTGCAAAAAGCAGATCCACAGTAGTGGAGAACAAGAAGATGCGTGTTTGCCACAGGCTGGGGTGGGAGAAAGGCTTGACTGCAAAAGGGGAAGGCTAAGGGAGGTAATAGGGAGATGGAACTGCTCTGTGTTCTGACTGTGGCATAAAACCATTATCACGTGTTGGGCTGGGCGCTGGATCCACAGTTTGGGAGTCCTTCATCCCATACTGGAGTGAGGGTTCAAGTCCTGGCTATTCTGCTTCCCAATCCAGGTTTCTGTTCAAGCACCCTTGGGTAGAAGATGATGCCTCAGGTTCTTGAGCTCTTGCTACCCACGTGGGAGATGCAAATGGAATTCAGGCTCCTAGCTTAGGCCTGGTCCAGCCCTGGCTATTGTGGGTATTTATGAAGTGAGCCACCATATGGAAGATCTCTCTCTTTCTCTTTTTCTGTGTCACTCTTTTACATAGATAAAAATAAATAAAAATAAACATCAAAAAAACTACATTTCTCAAAACTGATAAGACAACACAAGAATACTTCAAAAGTTTGTGGAAAGTACATATTTTGAAAAAACTATGTATGGACTTAAAATTTAAATTTTCTGTACCAAAATAAACTTATCTTTTAATATTGTTTTCTAGAAGGTTTTTGAGGTTCTCTCATATATCTAAAAAAGTTATTTCTATGGTATCTTTTAAGGTGTGTCTGTATATGTGTGTATATATATGTAATATATATATGGATATGTTATACATGTGTACATAATAGCATATATTTCTCCAAATAAATTTCTCTTAAAGAGAGTTTTAAAAGAAATGTACTCTCTGAATCTCTGCCAGAAGAAGCGGCTTTGAAGAGCTCTGGGCTTGGTTTCTATCTGAAAATCCAAATCAGTCTAGAGTAATGACCTCATTCACCACCTCTCTGCCTGTCTCCCTAAATTGTTTCCCGGGGCACTCCTTTTGTGGAAGTGGATATGTTTGGGGAGAAAGGGCTTTCAGCTTCCACTGGGCTCCGGACCCATGGCTTTGTATACAATGCAGCATTTGTGCTTTTGTCTAACTCACATTGCTTGGCTGCAGACCTCCAGCTTAGAATAGCTGGTCGCAAGCCACATCCCTAGGCACCTGGAGGGTTTGAACAATCCTCAATTCCAGAGCCTATTGCTGAGGACAACTGGTCTATCCCTTGGGCAAGTGGCCCTGTGGAGCCCAGCAGTTGGCCAGGCTATGAGCATGGACTCCCATCATCTGTTATGCTGAACAAGATGGCATCCTGTCCCTTGCTGTATCCTCTTTGAATCAAACACAAAGTGGCCTCTGAAAAGGCTGGGAAACCTAGCCTTCTCTGATTGAGGGTTTGAATGGATATTCAAACTTTTTCCCTCTTTCCAAGATGATTGCGGGGGGGGGGGGGGGGGCTGTAGGTGGAGGGGAAAGAGCCCTTTTGTTAACAATAAAGACAATAAAGAGCTGTGCACATGTAGGGGGAATGTGATTATGAGGATGAGTGTGCTGACTGGGGACCAAGTGAACACAGGATTATGTAATAGCAACTATGCCCTTTAAGCATGTGCCAGGCATGCTGCTACTGATCATTAAAGTATGAGAACAGGGCTGTCATCACTGTCAGGCAAGAGAACAAAGCCCCAGACCACATAGAGCAGAAGTGACAAGAAGTGACAGTGCTGGGCTCTAGCCCACAGGTAAAACCCTATAAGCCAAGTCCCCTCAGAGGAAACCCTGAAGACTGACACCATGACTGCTCTCTCAGGACCTGCCCCAGACAAGCAAACCAACACCAGCTTTCCTCAAAAGCCATTTTGAAAACTAGAATTGGACATGTCTGGCTAAAGATAGGACCAAAGTTGGCCTGAGACTCTCAGGGCTCTGCAGCCCCTCTACATGGCCACTTATCCAGTAGGTGGGCACCTTACTGTGAGAGATACAGATGCCAGTATGTGAGCTCTGGCTTTGAGTTCCGAAGAATAAGGTGGGACTCTGGTTCACCTGGGCGAGTAGTCAGCCTGGGGCAGGGCTGGAGAACAATGTCTGCCACATGCCTTGCACCTTCCTTAACAGGTTTGTCTGAATGGACACCCCTCACCTCACCTCTCTGGCCAGGCTCCAGAGGTCATGAGCTAGCACTCCTACAACAGGACATCTATTTTCACCATCTCATAGTTAGTGCATTTTATTCTTTATAAGGATCAAACATGCAGTTACCCTATTCTATCATTTTCTTGCTCTTCTAAAAGAACATTTTCTGTATCAAGTGAAGTACAATGTTCTGGAAGGTGTCCGGAACATAACAAATTTTCCCAGTCAGATGAATCAATTAATTGACAAGCTTTTATTGGGATTCCACTCCTGGGAAAGGTTCCCCCATCCCAACAGAGTGGGGGCTGGGGAAGTCGCAGTCAGAGGTTGGGAGAGCTCCTTTTATAGATACAGGGTGTGGGGGTTAAAGGTTGAGGCAGCTCTGATCCTCATTGGTTGACCTTTAGGCACCTGTGGGGACCTTGACAAGGACTTTTCTTCCCCGGAAGTGCGGGTAGGGACTCTCCATTCCCGGAAATGTAGGCCTTCTCTCCTTGCAGATCCCAAAGCTACCATCCCAACCTTTTGACGACAGGAAAAGGGGTCACGATGAGCCTCTGCTGATTGGGGACGTCGTCTACAGGGGCCCTCTGGGGGTATCTTGGAGCTCTGCAGGGACAGGTATGTATGGATGGAGAAGCATCTGGTTCACTGCTACTCTGGAGGCTTCCTGGATTCGATCTTTTATGATCCTGAGAGCACAAGGAGCGATCATTACAATTATCCCTACAGTTACTATGGGTCCCAGGGTTGGCAGAACCCAAGGGAGAAAAGAGGAAAATAGATCCCATCCTTGTTCTCCCTGAACTCTTGTTTGGCAATGCGTTCCTTAAGTTGTTGTGCCATGTTTCTGACCACTCCAGATTTGTTAGTAAAAAAGCAGCACTGTTCCCCCAGAAATACGCATGTTTCCCCTTTTTCTGCTAGAAAGAGGTCTAATGCCCTTCTGTTTTGAAGGGCCACATCAGCCAGGGAGTCAAACTGGGCTTGCAGTTTTATAATGGAGGCTGCAACATTTTACATTTCTGTGTTTAAGGTGTTTGCCAGTTGCTCTATCTGGGTAGTACCATATACCAGGTTAGCTACTCCTGCCCTGTCCCCAGTCCTGTTAGAACACCTAGTGCCACTAGAAAGGGAAGGACAATTATGTCCCTTTTAGCACGGATGTTTTGCAGCACCAGTTTCGGGAGAGACTGGTTTTGGGGCACCACAGAGACCTCTGGGAGGACAATTAAAGGAATACAGATATCAGTTGCATTAGGCGGTAGACAGTGGAATAGGAAGCTCCCGCACTGGAGGAAGTGACCTCCGGTTAAGCAATCTCCCAGCTTTATAGGGGTCACGGAATTACAGAGAGTGGAGTTGAAAAAAAGCATTGGGGGATAGTGGGTCAGGAGATAATGATGAGGTTAGACTGAAGCACTGGTGTAGGTTTTTTGGGTGAGGGAGATTAGTAAGTAAGAGAAAAGTTGTCTCATCAGTGGGTCCAGGAGTAGACTTTGTTGGGACTTCGAAAGTTGTAAAGGAAGGCAGCAGGGTGCAACAAATCCAGCAACCATCAGCCAGAGAGCTATCACAAGAGTTGAGGAGCTGGTAGACAGAAGAGATGTACGACAGCCAGTCAGGGCACAGGAGGTGAAGTGGGTTGGGTCTCTGTGGGAGAGGTGGCAAGGGTCGCCACTGAGTGGTTATTGGTGACAAGTTTTCTCCCAGGTCCTTGAGAACCTCCTTAACCCTAGCAACCTCCTGTTGTCGATTAAAGTCCTGGTGCCCTCCCCCGTCAATATAGCCCCAGTGAGTGGTCAGTGTCATACAGACCTTTGATCCAGGGGATCTGCCAAAGCAGTCACATCTGTGAACTCCACCACGGTGGACAGTTCCCTGGATTGCTGGTAATCCAGCGAAGGGACATCAGAATTGTGGTGATGTTCTCTCATAACACGTGGCTGGAAAGTAAGATAGGTGGTAGGAGCACAAACATGTGGGCAGGGACTGAGCAGAGACCAGTATCTTAGGAGTCAGGGGTAGGACCAGGAGGACTAGGATTACAGGCAAACTTAAGCTTGGTAGGCCCTGGAGCACTGGCTGTCCAGGATGACGGCGGCCCTGGGGGAGGGGAAGGTGCCCTCTTGAGGCAAGATATATGATACCAGCTTTCATGACCCAGTAGTTTAGCTGCAGTTGGAGTGGTGAGAATTACGATGTGAGGTCCCGTACAACAGGGATGGAGTGGCTGGCGCTGGGAGGATCGGAGTAGGACGGAGTCCCCCAGCTGGAGAGGCAGGACCTCTGGACCACCTGGGTGGTGAGCAGATGGGGACAGGATATTCCTGGCTAGCTGCGGGGTTCCCAGGAACTCAGGAGGGCCCAAAAAGGTGGAGGGTAGAGCGTTTGGCAGTAACACAGAAGAGGTGTCCTTAGGAGGTAAGACCATGATCCCGGGTTTAGGCACCATCTGGAAGGTGTCCGGCACATAACAAATTTTCCCATGCATATGAATCAATTAATCCACAAGCTTTTATTGGGATTCCACTCCTGGGTGAGGTTCCTCGGTCCCAACAGAGCGGGGGCCAGGGAAGTCACATGTCAGAGGTAGAGAGGGCTCCTTTTATAGATACAGGGCGTAGGGGTTAAAGGTCGAAGCAGGCCTGATCCTCATTGGTTGACCTTTAGGCACCCGTGGGGACCTTGACAAGGACTTTTCATCCCCGGAAGTGCAGGTAGGGACTCTCCATTCCCAGAAGTATAGGCCTTCTCTCCTTGCAGATCCCAAAGCTACCATGTTCAAGTTCAGATCTTGATGCAGGGGCTGGTCAGGATGCCTCACAGTTAAACTTGGAGGAATTAACAAAATGGTACTCAGTGTGAATGTCTGGACAAGGACACAAGTGGGTAACTGGTAACCAAGGGTCCCTACCAAACCAGGCCCATACTGCTTCCTGCTGGTGGGGTTGGAATTCTGTCTCCAAGACAGTGGGTCACTGCATCCTCTCTGGACTCTTGCCTAAGCTTTCTCCTCTAGGCTCCTCCTCAGCAAGCCCACCTGCCTGCCCAAAGTCTGTGTAGGGAGAGGACACAGCTGGTTGGAAAGATGCATGCCCCGCTCCTGCCCCCGCCCTGGGACCAGCCTCTTCCTCAGTCCTCAGGCCATGGACCCTCCCAGATCACCAGCAATGACTTGGCCACTGACTGCTGGTGCTGTCCTATTTCTAGATCATCACGGTCACCAGCATCCAGGCAGAAGCATGCATGCATTAGACGAGGGCAGCCAGTGCACTCCATTGCCTATGGCTGACAAATGCCCTAGTCTGGGCATAGCCGGCAGGTCTGAGTACTCACTGTGCAGATTCGGAGGAGCCACACCTCTCCCTCTCCCATCCAAGCTCTGCAGCTGCCAGCGCCACCCCACACCACAGAAGTTGTGAGCCTGCCCAAGAACAGTGGGCACATGGCTGACCCACAGAAATGAGGCCCCTGACTTCTAGGAAGAGGTGGGTTCTTGAGAAAGTTGAAACGCAGATCATGCTCTCCTCTAAGCCCAAACAGAAGAAACTCCGATGAGTCTACCATGTGAGATCTTCAATTCAGAACCAAACTAATGAGAGTTGGATAGCCTGGGATTGTACCCCAAAGGAAATGCTTTCTCTGGAAAATGTTAATATAGGACACATTCCAGTTACCTGAGGTCGTTTGAGTGAAGACTGCCTAAACGGCTCTGTGAGATTTAGGCCCAAAAACAGTGTGTACATCAGAGAGGATAATTTCCTTAACTGCCTGGACGGTATCACTGATTTTTCAAGAGAGCCTCTGTCTCCATAAAGCAAATACAACACACCACCCAGCCAGTCTCCAGGGGCTCGACAGTTCCTCATCCTCTGTTGATGTAAGTGTTACCCCTAAGGAAGTCCGATTCAACATATTACAGCCTGGCAGGGGTGAGGAACCATTTTATGTCCAGGGCCATTTGACACTTACAACAACATTCCCAGGCCACACAAACTGATCAACTTAAAAATTAGCCGGTTGTTACTGAATTTCGAGTACTGCCTGCAGTTGCCTTGGCAGGGTCAGACCAGATGATTTTGCAGGCCTATGTGGCCTGCGGGCTGGACTTTGCCCACAACTTGCAGAGGCTTCTGAGGGACTTGACCGTGCCCACATCTTGCTACCCAACACCTGGCCTCCAGAACAGTGAGCAAATATACTTCTGTGGTTTTAAACCAGCCAGTTTCTGGTGCTTTGTTATGGCAGTCATGGGAAATTGACACACCCCTGTAGTCCATTCCTGGTGAAAGCAAATGTCAATGCAAGGAAGAGAGAAGGACAATATTATAGAAACTGCTTTGAATTATCTCTCAAATCTGATAATTTTACATACAATTCATAGGAAATTGCTTGCAACACACTTCCCAGCCAATCCCCATACACTGCAGCCACCCACCTCCACAGTGAGAAACTGTTCATCTCGCCATACACTTTGCTTTTGCTGAGAAAATAGAGAGCCAGAGAGACCAGTGACTCACCAGGACTCACCAGTGACCCACCAGCAACTTAAGCATGTTTCCCTCCTCATGCCCAGCCCACTTTGTTCTGGACAGACTTCTTGTACACAGGTAAGAACAGGCCACCTGAAGGATGCTGAAGACTACTCTTCATTGTTTATATCAGTCCGCAAAAACTGTGCCTTCTGACTCTAGTGTATAGCATTGCAGGCAGCATGGCTGAAGCCTGAAGCTTCCATACGCAATTCTCCTCCTAACTGTGACTTTGAAGCCTAACAAAATGACTCACTTAGCCTGCTGAACTTTGAAGAACTGCTCAGGGTGAGTGTGTCAGGGCATCGACCTTGGGAGGAGAGGAGTACACGAGTGCTTTGACATTACTGTTGGGGACTCAGATTAATTAATACACCCTCCTTGGATGTAAAGACCAGTGGTGAACTCATCAAGAAGCCTACACCATAATTTTGAAGTGAATGATTGCTCTATCTCAAACAAGAGTCTTACATAGTCCTCCAAAGGAGCCAAGATGAGATGTCAAAAACTGGAACAGGAAGGATGCATAAGAGCAATTAACTAATATCTTCAGCCTGAAAAGTTGCCCTCCAGGTTATGATGCCCTTCCAATAAGATGACTTTGCTAGCCTAGATTTCTCAGCATAATGTTCCCATTTGCTTCCTATCTGTCTGAATGCTAATTTAGTTTTCACTCACATTCCTAAAAATAATAAAGCTCCCACTTTTTAGACATCACAGACATTATAAGAAATTAACTAGCCTGCCAAAAAAGTTCCTATCCATTCTTCTTAGAAAGAAATTGAAGACTCATATCACAAGATGAACTTTCAAATAACACCTCAAAGGGGGCCTGGACACTCGCCAAGTAATCCATACTGAAGTTTAGGTCCAAAATCCTGAGTCCAGCAGAACAACCTCCCCGAGGCAACAGAGGTAGAAACGGAGCAGCGCTGGTAGATGCTAAGCAGTGAAAGCCAACTTAGAATTCTAGCCTGAGGAGCCACCGAGGCATCTATAGGAGAAAGAAATGGGGGAGTCAGGAGTCAAACAGAAAGCAGTCAAGAAAAGAATTGGGAAAAAGCAAGAAGGTCCTTTAATGAAAACGAGCCAAACTGAATTAAAGGTATAAGGCCTTTTTCTTAATGCACACAGCTGACTATTGATTAAACCTTAAACATGATTTGATAACTATCAAAAAAAAATCAGTCCTCTTGGGGCAGACACTGTGGCACAGCAAGTTAAGCCACTGTTTGGGCTGCCTGCCTGCTATATCCAAGTGGTTGGTTTGAGTCCTGGCTACTCTGAACTTCAGATAAAACCTCCTACTAATGTGCCTATCAGGCAATGGATAACACTATGTACTTGTGTTCCTGCCACCACATGGGAGATCTAGATGGAGTTCCTGGCTCCTGATTTCAACCTGGCCTACCCCTGGCTATTGCAGGAACTGGAGGAGTGAACCAACAGATAGGAGATCTGTCTCTGTCTCCCTCTCTATGTCACTCTGCCTTTCAAATAAGTAAATACATCTTTTTTAAAAAATCAGTCTTCTCCAAATACTTCCTTAGCCTGTCACAGTTGCTGTTTTTTCTAGTCTATAAGCGTGCCTGCTGTGCCCACAGCCTGTAAAGAACTCTCAGAAGTACATGTCATCCACTGCATTACTGTAGTTCATTGGATCAGCAGTGAACACTTGATGCAAGACCAGCTCCCAATCAAAATGTTTCCTCGTAACTTAAATTAAGAGATAGCCCACCTGTGGGTAGAATGTAATTGAGCTAAAGAGCTAAGTGGACTCTGAACTGGCCATTTTGGTGCTGGAAATCTGTCAATAGACAATCCTGAGCCGCAGAAATAGAACAAGGCAGCATAAAGAAATAGATACTTGACACCCTGTAGTCCAAGAAACAGTGAGAGAGGAGGGGAAGCACAGCTGCCTTAATGACTGACAGCATAGCAATCCTCACTCACAATCTGTATAAAATGCCTGCAGGGAATTTGTTTCAGTGAGGTTTCTGTATTCTTTTGTCCAACATCTCTTATATCCTGAAGGATTCTGGCTAAAGCAGCATGGTTACTTTTTCCCAAAGTTATTCCTACTGTTCTCCAAACACCCCTGTGTGGGCAGAACTGTCTTTTAGAGAAAAATATGACTCTGAGAAAGAAGGGGAAGCCTGAGAGCAAATTATGAAAATTGTCCTCTAAAATGATGTGCATGTGCACATACATGCATATAAAACAGGATGAAATAGTGTAGATTCAATGGTGTTAAATGGGACAGGATGAATGTTGCCTTTTAAGAATGCTATAGTTAGCTTTACCCACAGACAACAATTGCTCATAATGATCTCAGATTCCACTGATACACATATTCCTTTTGATTTTTCCTCCTTATCCATCAAAATAATGAAGACTATTCTGAATTTTTACCTAAGGGTAAAGCAGTAATATCTATCTGTTCCTACGAGATGAATTCTAAATGAGAAAAGTTGAGCAGGCCAAGTAAAAAAAGAGGACAATTTCACCATTTTTACAAAATGCAGAGAAAAGTGGATCATTTTGTCTCTGAACTTTTCATGGAAGTCAAGATTCAAAAAGGAAAAATTACATATAAAAAGAACATTTTTGGGTTTTTTGACTGTAACATATAGGATTACAAAAAGAAATGAGCTAAATTATCCAATTAAAAGATGCGGCTCTCTGAATGGATTGAAAAACAAGACCCATCTATTTGCTGCCTACAATAAACACACCTCACCAACAAAGATACACATAGACTGAAAGTGAGAGGATGTAAAAAAAGTTAATCCATGATAAAAATAAAGCAAAAACAAGCATGTGTTGCCATTCTAATATCAGACAAAATATACTTTAAGACAAAAACTATTAAAAGGACAAAGAAGGGCTTTATGTAATGATTAAGGGATCAATTCAACAGGAAGATGTGATTATAGTAAATGTATATGTGCCCAATGCCAGGGTGCTTGGATATTTAAAAAAAATGAATGGATTCAAAGGGAGACACAGGTTCCAATACAATAATAATGGGAGACTTAAATACCACATTTTCATCAACGGACAGATCAACTAGACAAAATAACAAAGACACAACAGAGCTACTCTATAGTATGGACAAAGTGGACTTGATTGATATCTACAGAACCTTTCATCTCACAGTTGCACAATATACATTCCTTTCATCATTGAATGGAATTTTCTAGAATAGACCATACAGTAGGCCATAAGGCAAGTCTCAACAATTTTTTTAAAAAACTGAAATCATACCATGTATCTTTTTTGACCACAATGAAATGAAGCTGGAAATTAACAAATTAAGAAACTCCAGAAAATATGCAAGCACATGGAAAATGAACAACTGAATGCTCTTGAATGGACAGCGGATCATAGAAGAAATCAGAGAAAAATCAAAAAATTCATAGAAATGAATGAAGATAACAACAGAACATATGAAATTTATTGGATACAGAAGAAACAGTGTTAACAGGAAAGTTTATGGCAATTAATGCCTACATCAAGAAATTGGAAAGTCATCAAATAAACGATCTATCAATGCACCTCAAGGACCTAGAGAAACAAGAACAAGCCAAACACAAAATTAGTAGAAGGAAAGAAATCATTAAAATCAGAGAAGAAATAAACAAAATTGAAACAAAAAAAAAGGTACAAAAGATCATTGAAATGAAGAGCTGGTTTTTTGAAAAAATAAAATTGATACATCATTGACCAAACTAACCTCCCAAAAAAGGGAGAAGATCCAAATTAACAAAATCAGAGGTGAAAAAGAAGGTATTGCAATTGATGTCACACAAATGAAAAGAATCACTAGGAATACTACAAAGAGCTATGCACCAACTGGAAAGTCTAGAAAAGAATGGATTTCTGGACACATACAACCTACCAAAATTGAGCATGAAGACACAGAAACCTAAACAGACCAATAACCAAGACAAAGATGGAATCAGTAATAAAGACCCTCCCAAAAAGAAAACCAAAGGCAGAATGGCTTCACTACTAAATTCTACCAAACTTTTAAAGAACTAACACCAATTTTCACAAAGTATTCGAAATAATTGAAAGAGAGAGGATCCTCCCAAACTCCTTCTATGAGGCCAGCATCATCTTTGTTCTAAAAGCAGAAGAACATACAAGAAATAAAGAGAACTATAGATCAATATCACTGATTAACATAGATGCGAAAAATCCTCAACAAGATACTAGCTAATCAAATCCAATAATACATCAGAAAGATTATTCACCTGGACCAAATGGGGTTTATCCCTGTTATGCAGTGGTGGTCAACATTTGCAAATCAATAAATGTGATACATAACATTAACAAACTGAAGAATAAAAAAAACATATGATTAAGCAAGAACTGGCATCCAGGAACCAAGCACTTTGCTCCTCTCTCAGAGTAAACAGAGACCAGAAGCCAGATGCTATGCCAAGAAAACCAGGAATTCGTCCAACCCTTCTCCCAGATTGTCAAGGTACTAACTGAGGTGGAGATGGGACACCCAGAGATAGGAGATGCTATTGCCCTGCTTAAGGAGATCATGGAGTACATTGGTGGCAAGTACATTCGGGGTTTGAGGGTGCTGATAGCCTTCTGGGAGCTGGTAGAACCAAAGAAGCAGGATGCTAAAAGTCTCCAGTGGCCCACTGGCCATGGTATGGTATGTGAAACTGCTGAAAGCTTTCTTCCCGATGTCAGACAACATCATGGTTATATCCCTCACCACCAGGGGCAGCTCTGCTAGTATCAGAAGCCAGGCATAGATTTGGACACTGCCAACAACATCCTGCTTCTGGAAGCATGCATCTACAGCCTGCTCAAGTTCTGGTACATTCGGGTTTGAGGGTGCTGAGCAGCCCTACTACCTGAACCTCATCAAGCTCTTCCTACAGAGTTCCTTTCTGAGATGGGAACAGATCCTGGACCTCGTCACAGCACCCCAGGGCAATATAGATCTTGGAAGACGCAATGAAAAGAGGTAAAAATCTATCATCAAGTACAATGCAGTCTTCTACTCCTTCTACTTTCCTGTAGCTAGTGCCAAGTACATGGCAGGCATCAACAAGGAGAAAGAACATGTTAATCCCAGAAAGATGATGCTGGAGACAGGAGAATTCTATCAGATTCAGGATGATTACCTCAACCTCTTTGTGAGCCCCAGTGTGATGGACAAGGTTGGCATCTACATCCAAGACAACAAATGCAGGGCTAGTGGTTCAATGTCTGCAATGGGCCACTCTGGAACAGTGCCTGATCCTACAGAATAATTACAGGCAAAAGAGGCCAAGAACGTGGCCAGGTTTAAAGTTCTCTATGAGGAGCTGGATCAGCCAGTCATGTTCTCACAGTACGGGAAGGACAGCTACAGCCGCCTCATGATGGAGCAGGTCCTGCCACCATCCATCTCCCTGGGGCTAGTGCACAAGAGCTACATGCATAAAAAGTGATCCAGAGACTGTGAGAGAGGGGAGGGGAGACTCTCAATAAATTATTGTGTGACCTTAAAAAATATGATTATCTCAATAGATTCAGAGAGAGCATTTTATAAAATAAAGCATCTTTTCATGAAAAAAACCTTAAGCAAATTGAATATAGAAGGAACATTCCTCAATACAATCAAGGCAATATATGACAAACACACAGTCAGCACCATATTGAATGGGAAAAAGTTGGAAATATTTCCAGTAAGATCTGGAACCAAGCAAGGATGCCTACTTTCACCACTGCTATTCAATATAGTTCTGGAGATTTTAGCCAGAGCCATTAGGCAAGAAAAATAAATCAAAGGGATACAAACTGGAAAGGAAGAAATCAAATTATCCTTACTTGCAGATGATATGGTCCTATATACAGGAGAAACCAAAAGATTCTACTAAGAGACTATTGGAGCTCATATGAGAGTTTGTTAAAGTTTCAGGACATAAAACCAACACACAAAAATCAATAGCCTTTGTATACATAGACAATGCCATGACT